CAAGTGCAATGACATTACACATGAAGAGAACCTGTAAGGATAGGAAAGTGTCCAGCTAAGAATCTCATCCCACTACTTTACATGGGTATATCTAGTGCAGAAAAGACTAGTGCTAAATCCCCACTACAAAAGTGGTAACTTGGAGAAAGGGAACATCGGCCAAGGCTTATCTGAAGCTAAATATGAATGTCAACAAATTTATCTGACCTCTTCTCATACTGTTTCAAAGGGCTGTCAGAGAAGGTAGCCTTGTCCTTCGCTCTTGGATGCAAATAAACAGAAAAACATCCTGGGCCACTAAGACATCCAAAGCTACAGAGATGTCTTTGGATGATGAAAAAATTATCTTTCCAGATTTTAATTTGAACTTTCATCTTTGATGGCCCTCCTTCCTAGAATCACAAAGTAATTCAAGTTTGCAGCATCTATGGAGGTCTGTAGTCAAATCTCCATCTCCAAAGCAGGTCCAGATATATTAGGTGGTTCAAGAACTTGTCCCACTGTTTGAAAATCACCAGATGTAGACATTACCCTGGTCAACCTGTTCAAACATCTGATTACCTTCATGTGGAAAATCTTAAAAAAATTTGTTGGCCATTTTTCCACTTTGCACCTATAAATTTTTTCTCACAGACTGAAGTCACTGATAGTGACATCAAACCTGAAACTAGCACAGTGTCATCTTTAAAGTACATTAAAAATATTCAGTTTATAAAGCTGGTTTTGTTTTCTAGGAGAGCTCTGTGCCTCACTTCACATACTGTAGTTCTTCCAACAGGTTTATGTCTGAGGTAAGAATTATTGTACATATCAGCAAATATGTTTTCTTTTGTCCCAGCTCTAAAAAAATAAAATCAGATTTATCTGCCAGTTTTCTGGCATTCTATGCCTTTCCCAAATCCTGATAAATTATCATGCAGAAATGCTAACCATTCATTATAGAAGTGATCCATGTCTAATGAAAGAGGTACTGTACTTCTATATTCCAGAATAATGGGAATTAATTTACATAGTGGAGGCTTCAAGGGTCTGAGTATATCACCTATTCCTATATTAGGCCCATTTTCTGGAAAGAACACATCATTGACAGAAAAAATATATAACAAAACTATGCATCTGTTAAAGGGTATTTTTATTCTAATGTCAGCCAGTCTTATTAATTCCATTGTATAAATATGTGGTATAGATTGATATACTATTAAACCCTTGCAAATACAGAGTAGATGTAAAATTACCACAGCCCAGCTCTGTGTTCTCCACACTAGGCCACACCACTGCCCTTAACTTTTCACTGCTGAGCAGGACCCGAAACTACAAAGTGACCACAGAGAGAACAAACCATTGTGGGGTTTGTTTCAATGTGTGAAATAAGGGCATGGTCAGGTGATTATTTCAGATCATCTCCTGTGTCCCTTTGCGTAACAGAGATGAACCCTGACATGGAGCAACAAGTGCTTTATTTTGTAGTGTGTTAATCTGCAGTCGAGGTAACTTGAAGGACTGTCAGAAGTGTCAGAAAAAAAGTCAATTTCTTAGCAGAAACCAATAAAAACCATACTAACTAATTTGACCACCCCTTAACAAGAGGAATTGCAACACTTCCCATAAACTGGCTCAGGAAAGATATTCCTATCTAGGCATAGTCTAGCTTCTCACCAAAATTCAGCTAGGTCAAGAGGTGCTTTGAGAAGCAACAAAACTAAAAATCAAGTACTGCATGTTTCTTGTTTTCATGAATCCCCTACCTTGTAGTAACAGTAACTTTGAACCTCAGGGTCTTTGAGAACATGGCATCAGCAAAGCAATAGCCTTGATTCTGTAAATTCCTTACAGTAGTTGACTGTGTGTTTATTATGGAAGTCCCACATGCCCAGTGTGCAGCCAAAGATTATTTTTCTTCCAAAGGCCAAACTTGCATGGAATTCTGTTAATTACATGCACTGTGGAAATGTTAGCCTTGACTCCTCTGTATATACAGCAGCCTTTGTCCATCACATGATGATTTTGAAGTGTTCTGCAGATATAATTTGATAGAATAATAAGGTATTGTTATTGAATCTTTATGTCTCCTGCTGTCCCAGGAGCACTGACCTTGCTTCCCCAATACAGAGGTTTGTCTGCCAGGCTAATCACACTGATATCTGAGTACCTCAGAGGAGATCCTTATGTGGCAACATTTCTACAGAACTCAAAAGTGGCCAGACATACTGATAAGATCCATGTATTACTCCTGTGCATTTCTGCAAGGTTATAAACCACTTCCAATTTCAAATATAAATCCCCTTCTTGGTGACATGTGGAGACATGCATGGCTCAAATAACTCAAATTGTCCCCAGGTGTCAGGGTTCCCTATGAAAGCAGCAATGGATGCTATTTCCAAGCAGATAGCAACCACAGGGAACCAAGATGAATGAATCCCCCATCCACTCTTTTCCAGCAGATATGTAGCACTGATAAATGTCCTCAAGTTACCATGAGAATAACCTTTCATTTATGTCCTTCACTTTTATTTGCCAGGACAAGGCATTTATGCTGTATCTTTTAGCCATGGACAACCAGATATTCACTCATGTCAGGATCCATCCCCATACAGGCCACTAATTGTTGGCATTGGTGCTTTGCACCAATCAATGGTGGATAGGAACTGACTGTCACCATTAGTTTATTACCTTATTGTTAAGACTCTCAAACCTTCTATCTGGGAGTTCCCATGGGCACCTTTTTTTTCTTCTGCACAGCCAGCAGACTTTTTCCTGTCCATAGCAGCACATATGGACCCTCACTGTCCCTAACACAACCACCACACCCTCACAGCAGCAGAACCAACTGACTCCAACTCTCCTCCCAACCAGCTGACCCACTCTTTTATAGCATCCATCCTTATTGGACACAGCTGTGCCCTATTAAGGGCAGGGCTGTTCCTGCTCTTTGGTAATTAGTACAGCTGCAACCCCTCAGGGGTGAGATTGCCTTCAGCACTGTCTCTATTCTCTCACTGTCCATCCTCCCACAAACTCACCTTTCTGTAAGTTGTTTTTTTTCCCCTTGATTTGATGTTGTATAGGCATATCCATAAATATCCATGCACACAGCAGGGTATGTGCAGTACGTCTGACAGGGCATGGTTACCCCTAGCACAATACCACTTTTTAATACAATTTTGGCTGGTTTCCATAGCTGTCAAGAAGTCTAGGTTAGGTTGATAGGTCTCTTAAAATGTACAATTTCTGGCAATCAAGTTTTTATTCTTCCTTTACGAAAGTCCTGATACTTACGAGGAGGGTGTTTTTTTTCAGGAATGAGATATTTTCATAGTTGTTGAACAAATTACAATACAAAAGCTCCTATCTGGAGTTATGCAGATACTTCATGGCAGCATCAGCATCCTTTACATATCTGCACAGCCACAAAAATGTCCAACAGTTTCATTTTTCCACTCAGAAGATTTTTATTTATTTTCTTTTTTGAAATTAAATGCCAGAGCTCTCCTATTGCCTCAGCACTTTTTATTTGTTCTGAAAAACCTTGGTTTCTCTCTCTAGTGCAGTGAAGATGTGTAGGCTGTAGTTCCTTTAATTGCAATACCTCTGGGAACCTCCACATGAACAAGGGCTTTGATATAATGGCACTGTTGTTACACCAATTTCTACCAAAACAATCAGCTACAGTCAGAAATCAAAATATTCTTTAAAATACACTTATTTTAATTCAGACCTATCAAGAACAATCTGCCTGTCACTGATACAATGTATATGTTTAAAAACTTGCCCAAAGCTGCAAGAATTCAGGGTAGTCTCATTACTATATAAACACAATAATCTGAAGAAAATGTATATAAGCTTATGCTTATTGCTTAAAACCAAAGGGGAATCAGTACATTCTTAAGACATAAAGCTATGCTTTGAACCCTATCAGAGTAAAAATATTCTCCTATGATGAATTTCAAAACCAAAAATGTCATAGGACTCAGCCTCATCCTTACAAGTCCATTACAGATTTGTTGACTGGTTTCTGTACTTTAAAGTATAGTGTTCCTAGCTTCAAGTTGCAGAAATAAACTCAATTGTGTTTCTAAATTTTTATGGCTCATTGAAGTCTTGGCGTATGTAGGAACATTTCAAATTTCTTTTGTTCTCTCTGAAATACTTTGGGATGGACATTCATTTGTAAAACTGAGGTACAGTACTCTGCAGCTGAGAAGTTCTACTTATTAACTGTTGCACACAAATATTTTTTATGGGAGATAATAGAGACCTAAAAGGCATCTTATACAACATCATTAGATGAATCAGAAATAGTATATCCACATGATATTTTGGTTGCTCTCATTCAACAAAAGTGTTGGTAGGAGTCAAGATAAAGTTGTACATCAATATAAAATTTATTTGGTGGGGAAAAAAAGAAGTGTTATCTTTACTTGAACTGGGAGTGTGCAGGAATAAATAGCTGAGTGTTGGTAGGTAACTGGTGAGTTAGAAATGCTGGTAAAACACAGGGAATTGAGGTTCTGTGGTAAGGAATAAATTATGCTAAGTAGTATAGGAACTGCCATGAAATTATATTTAGGTTATTTCTGATACTTCAAATGAACTTCCAGACCAGCACATTAATATTGACAATATCATTTATTCAAGCTTCAGGAACCTGGGATCATTTCTCATCTTGATTCAATCACTTTTGTTAAACCTCTTGTTAACAACACAGGAAAGAAATGGATTTTCCAAGTGATCACTATTTATTGGACAATAAATTTAAAATGACACTGCAAATATAATTTCATGGTTTCTGCTCTTTTCATTTCTTTAAAAAAAACAAGGATGGAGACAAATAACGGTGCTTAAAATATCATGAGGACAATCTTGGTTTATCAACTCCAATACAAACACACATCAAAAGAAAATTATAAATGTCTAAATACCACACCCATGATAGATTAAGAGTTTTACTTCTTTGACTCATCTTTACAAATAAATCTAAAAAACAATGATAGTGTACTTACATATTTCAGATCCTCATCTGTCTAAGAATAGATAGCACTGAAGTCATGTGTCAGAATATCTCGGGTTGTCTCTTCTCAATTCCCTTTTTGTGATCACCATCCATAAAAATCAGTGCGCCACTGCAATGGTCCAGCCATCCTCACTACAGAAAAGGAGCCAGGTGTTGAGTGTCAGACAAGACTGGCATGGGTTTGTAAAGGTTGTTTGCATGGCAGCTGTCAGGATTGTAATTCCTGATTCCTGACCCAGATTCCCTCTCCCTGCCAGAGTACCTCCATTGGAAGCCAGGCTATAACATCAGTGATTGGTATCTGTCTTTAATGTCTGTATTGATAAGGATAACTGGATATCTGCCTCCATATCTACAGCCCATCCATGTCCACGCTGCCTTTCCATGCTTTGATTTCCCCAGGAATAGTTATATAACAATTTCCAGGCTTTTTCCTACCCAAGATATGCACACTATACCACTATCCATTGGTGGCTTCACACATCAGATGTGGTCTCAAAGGCTGGATAAGGACTATATCAAATGTGAGGTGCTTCAAGCTGAAACAGGACCTAAGTTACTATGCACACATGTTTAAGCATGGAGAAAGAAGGCAGTATGTTTTTCATGGGACAAACTTTCTAACTGCATTTTTTCTTCCTTTTTGTCTATATTTTATGCTTAATGCTGGCAATAAAGCATATTTCGTTATTTTAAAATATCACTAAAATACTGTAGGTTTTTGCAGATTATATTGGTTTTTTTGGGAGAAATTCAGTAGAGACACTCCTATGTCTGAGACCTGGATGAGTCTAACTGTTTCAACATATATCATCAAAATTACCATCTCAGTCCCTTACTGTATATTGCTCAGACACTTTCACTCAGTAATGTCCTGGGCACTTTTTATAGAAGCTCTATATTTAATGGGGACTTGAAGACAACGCTCAGTTTTAGAGATACGTGAGTCTTTATTTACCATCAGACAAAATGGGTAGTGCCACTCTGTTTAGTGACAACGCTCACTAATATAATGTCTGGCACAGCAAAGAAAATGAGTCAGTGTATGATCTTGCTAAAGGGCCAACATTTTCTGAGAGGTCACAATTAGCATGCCCCTCAGTGTTATCAAAAAATAGCTTAAAAAGTTGTGACTGCAGATGCAAGATGCAGCCCAGCTCAGCTGTCCACATAAAACTGTACAGTGCAACTAGAGATGCCCTAGTTACTCTGACTGTCCTTCAGCTGCTGCCCAGGAAGGCATGGTTTTCTTGCAAATCCTGCAACTTCTCTGCCAGCCTTTTAAATAAGCTTGGGCATCTAAAACAGCTCAGGGCATCTGAAATGTCTCTAAGTTCATTGTAAAATTAAACTTTGCACTAAATCACAAGTTATGCATTGACAACAGACTCTGTGATCCCCCATCTCACTATTGCTACTATCCATATACAAGCCCAGCACATCACCCCTTTCCTCAAGTACTTTCAGGGAATGAGTTGCATAACAAGATGCTTAAAATTTTGTGTTGCATGCTACTTTATGCACATGTATGCATGCTATATCAGAGCTCATATTTTTCATTCTTTAATTAATATTGCCTTTTTGTAAAAATTAAAGCAGTGGGATTCCAGAAAGCCATTATGTTTTGTTTGTTAGGAGCTGGCATAAATGTATTCCAGTAGAGATAATGCTGTAAATGTTGATCATGTTACAAGTTGGCCCACCTACTGTCACTTCAGGAAGCAGAGGTTTAAATATAAAACTACTATTTTTAACTGAGTTAATATTGGAACTGCAGGAGGAGACATTCAAGCTGGTGTAAATAGTAGCCTGGCTGATGTAAGTAGCACTATATTGATTTACAACCGTGAAGCAACTATCAGAAACAGTAAATGTTTTCTACACCAAGAGTTCTACAAATGTATTTATAATATTATTTTGAATATTATTCTTTTCCTTTTGAAGGATAAGAAAAAGTCACAACAGAAAGTTGAGATTATTCAAAGGTATCTCAGAAGCCCCGAAAAACTTCAATGAGAAAATAAATGGAAATATAGAGCATGTGTCCTAGCCCAGTAGACTGCTTCAAATCCCTGAGCTAAAATATGCACGTTACATAACTATGTGTTTTGTTTACAATGAGCAATATATTCCAGACATAATTAAAATAAAGAAAATTGTTATTGATACCTCTGGATGATAAAAAAGACACAAACAACCCTCCACCAAACCTCTGAGGTATTAAATAAACACAGGTTTTATATTATAAGCATTCATTTATGTTTTCTTCTTGAAGCTGTAGTTCCTAAAGTTAGATTATTACTAAAAATAAGAGCATGACCATCCAATTTTATGACTAAATTGGAAATAGGAAAAATAAAAATAATAAAGTGCTCTAATACTTAAAACTCACAATTTTATACACTTTACATTGTCTTGATTTATTAAATATTCTAATGTTGGGCATACTTTTTGGGTGTCTACACAATAGCACTTGGCCTTTGTGATACAATATTAACAAAATTAGAAAAGTCTAAGAAGTTTAACCCAAGAGGAGCCTTACTTCTCCAGAAATACAACTAAAGGAGCCAAAGCTGTGTTTTCTTTTCAAATTACTTTCTCTCTCTTTAGCTGAGGTGTTTAAAGACTCCATAATGAAGCACAGCACAGAGTAGAGCACAGGAGAACTGAGGCTATGGGCTTTAGGGAGATTAATGGCTGCAGAGCGGTTCGCTTTTTGTTACATTAGCCTGCCCAGAAAAGCAATTCCCTCCACAGCCCCATACCCAATCCCCATAAGTGGAGACATATGGCAGTTCTGTGATACAGAGAACACACTGTGGTAGTTTTATTGATACTGGGACTGCTTCTTAGCCAGTATAAGTCTTCTCCACTCAGCTATGAATTGATCCCATTGACTCTTGGCAAAAGCAGAACAGTCATAAAGGTTAATGCTGCCTCTGCAGTCAGATTCCTTCTCTGAATTGCCCTGTGAAGGTGCCTCTCTCCACTGACTCCAGGGAGACTGGCAGATTAAACTTAGACTGAGCTAACTCTTGTGCCTCTGCCACTTTGGTGGGATCAATCTGTAGAGACGTGCTTTTCTCTTTGTCCATGATTCTTAGATGTAAGTCTTTTGATGGAAAACCATCAGAAGTAGCAACAAGAATGATGCAAGTCGTGCATGGCCATCGCTGTTTTCTTAACTGGAGAAATGTCAAATGATCAGAGCCTCTTCCTACCTCTCTCCCTCCCTCTCTCTGCTGTCCCTCCATTATCTATCTGAGGACAGTAATCATTAAAATATTTCAATACCCATATCCCAACGTTTCCATGTTGAACTAACATGAATACTTGAAATTGGAGAACTGTGGTGCATTTTGGAAGGACCTTACAAAAGTGGTTTTCAGCTCAGATTCTTGGCTAAAGGACAAAAGGCTTGGCGATGTGGCACAACATTGCACACACATAGACACACAGAGATAATTTCATATTTTCTGCTTCCCTCCTCAGATTTCTCTCTTCCAGCCATCAGCTGCTCCGCTAACCTTGAAGCTGCAAAGAATTTCATTCTGTGGCTTGTGTTTCCTCCAAAGCAGAATTGCAGGACCTCAGTTCCTCCCCAGAAATTATGTCTCCTAGAGTCATTATTCCCTCTTGGCCTCAAACCACTTCCTGCAATTTCAGAGCCACTGAAAACAGCAGTTTCAAATTATCTATTAACCCATGAAGGCTAAGCCAGCCTGGATTCACCAGAGTTCCTTTGATGCATTTTTCTTTGGTCACACTTTTCTTTCTTCCTATCACTAAACTTTGAAATAGAACTGAACAGATTCTTCCTCAGACGAGTTTTGGCCCATTTTACAGATTTTATCCTCTGAATATTGTTTTGTTTCCATCTCCAGTCTATTGCAGACTACTATTTACCAAATCTATCTTTCTTGAAAAATTCTGATGACCTGTAAAAGCTGAAACGTTAACTATCAAAACCCTTGGGTATAGACACAAATGATTATGTAAGCTCGAGGCTCAATGCCAGATGAACAGACGACAGACCCATTTATCATCAGTAGGAATAGGCACATTAATTGGCTATGATACCAGTACCGTCCTTCAGCATTAACAAAACTCTTCTTGATTCTGAATGTTTCCCCAGAACACCCTTTATTAAATAAGATAAATAATACTGAGGCCAAGGGTCACACTGCTTCATCTGAGAAAACTCAATTATTTATGAATACTTCCCTGACTCAGGCTTGGTAACCTGTCAGGCTGGCAAAGAGAGCTTTTTGGTCTACTGACTAAACATTATTATTCTACACAGATGTGTCTTCTGTGTTAAAGAATCAGCAACAGAGAAACGAAAACACATTAGCCCTGTAAAGCTTCTGGGCTGGGGGGACAGTGCTTGAACACTGGAACAGTTTATCTAGAAGGGCTGTGGAGACTCCATCCTTGGCAATATTTAAAACGTGAGTGGACACATCCCTGAGCTCTTCTGGCTGACACTGTTTTGAGTGATGTGTGTTGGACTAGATGATCTCCAAGCTCCCTTCAAGCCTCTGTGATATTCTGTAATTCTGAGTCCATGACATTAAGCCACAGTAGTGAATTCCTCAGTTTCTGTTCTGGGCTTTTCCATGTACTCACACAAAAACCAAAATACTCGTAACTGGCTACTGCTTCCAGCTGTTTAACCATGCAAAGAGGAATATAATCCTAGAACACCCTCATGCCAATTTTCTTGCATGCAGCTGAGAATGTGAAGAAGCAACCCGTGACCGCCGTTTGGTATGGTACCTACAGAATTCTCCTGCAGTTAAGTGAACTCTTCTGCATAATAACTTGACCCTATTTGGCACAGTTGCTATGCAAATATTTTGTATGATTCCAGGCACACTGTTTGTGTGCCATCACTGTCACCCCGGATAGTACAAAAGCAATGATACACTCCAATAACTCTGCATGAGAATGGAGAAGGTAAAACATAGATAATTTTACTGGAATTTTGACTGCATGTTAAAAGTAGTAGAAACAAAGTGTTTCTTTCAGAACTGGCTTTCACCTACTTCTTGAGTTGCCAATAAATGGTTCTTTGACCCATTTCATTGAAGGAAGAGCTCAAAAGTAATTCTGTAGTATTCCATGGAACT